CGGAAGCGGGAGATGTCCAGGCTTGGCGTGTGCGGCAAGTGGACGGCGAAGGCCTCGGGCAGCACCAGGAGCTCGTACTCCTGCAGGAGTTGGGGAGGCCACAGTGCTGGGAGCCAGGCTCCAAGACCAAGCAGCGGTGGGGGAAAGGGCAGACTGACAGCTGCCTGACAGAGCAGCCTGCCTGGCAGAGGCAGAGCTGGCACAGGGCACTTGGGGTCTAGGTGGTGACAGCCAGGCGCCTCCTCACCTGTACGTCCAGCTCCACGATGTGGGCCGCCTTGTTCCAGCCGAAGCCCACAAAGCGAGGGTCGTAGCGGGGACAGTCGCGTGGCACCACCACATAGGGCTCGTAGTCGGCTGCCCACTGCACACGGTAGGGCGCCTGAGCCTCCCGCCAGCGGGCATAGTCCGTGGGCAGATGACCCTGGGGCCACTCGTGGTACCTGTATGGCAGGCACAGCGGGGGCTCAGGCTGAGGCCAGGTGCCCATGGGGCGGGGGCTGGCATGGGGAGGCAGCAGAGCCCCGGCCCCTCCTACCTGAAGGTGTAGAGGGCACCGGCGTCCAGCAGGGCCAGCAGCTCAGCCTTGGACCTGGGGAAGCTGAAGCGGTAGTGTAGGGACTCGAACGCCGGCACCACCAGAGCTGCCTTGCGCAGGCCGCCCAGCCCCAGCTGCTCGATGGAGGCCCTGAGGAGGAGCACGGTGACAGGAGGCCAGAGCAGGGCCCTGCCTTTGGGATTGGGCCCCACACCTCCTTTCAAAGGACAGCCACCCCTGGTGCCTCCAGTGCAGGAAGGCGCAGTGGAGCTCTGGGTTTCTTTTGTTGTTTTTGTTTGAAGCCATCCCAGCTGCCCCAGCTCTGACAGCCCAGAGAGAGCCTAACAGCCCCGTGTGCAGAGATACTAGCCCCACAGAGCAGCAGCCATCCTGTCCCCACCAGGCCCACCTGAGGTAACCATAGAGGGAGTGAGCAGGTAGGAAGTCGATATCGCTGAGGAAGACATAAGGCGTGAGCGCCTGGGCCAAGGCCACATTGCGGAGCTGGTTGACAGGGTACAGGGAACCATCTCGGTATACCACATGGTAGGCCACATCCTGCCGGGCAGACAGCACCGGCGAGGCCTCGACGAAATGCAGGAACTGCTGGGCCTCTGCGTCTGTGAGGTACAAGGCCAGGCTCATGGGGCCCGGCCAGTGCCTACACAGGGCTTCGAGCATCTGCAGCCTGGGGTGAGCAGGGTGGTGAGCCTGGGGAGGGCGGGAAAAGCTCCCCCGTGTTGACACCCCTCCCAAGGGACTTGGCCAGCCCCTGCCTTCTGGGCCAGTCTTAATCCCCCCAACCCACTGGGTGTGAGAAAACGGCATGAGACGGCAAGGCCATCCAAACCTACAGCTGCTGAGGGCCAGTTCTCGGCATCCCAGTGACTCCGAAGCCCAAGCTGTTTCCCCATCCGTTGCCTCCAACTTCTAGGGCACTGCCGGCCTCCAGTACTCACCGGTCCATGGAGAGCTGGGCCACCAGGGTGACATCGTGAGGCCTGGGAGGCGGTGGCTTGTATGGCAGGAAGGTAAGGTGCGCACGGAGCACGGTGAGCTGCTGCTGCCGGAACTCGAAGCAGGGGTCTTCCTCATCGAGTTGGGCCAGGCTCTGCTGCAGCTGGGGTAGGGGTCAGGGGACAGAAGGGCCAGGGCTGTGACAGGACATGTCCGCTCCGGCCAAGGCGGTGCGTCACCAGAGCAGAGGCCGGGCGTCCCTCTCACCTGCTCGGCCCCACGTGGGGGCTGGCTGGGGCACCCGAAGAGCTCTCTCCGCAGCAGATTCCCGTCGTACCCCAGAAAGGTCAGGTACAAGTTGCGGAAGAATTCTGCATGTTTGTTTTTCACCCGAAGCTTCTTTGGTGAGTTCCAGTGGACCACCTGGGACCCGGGAGGGCGTCAGGAGGGACACAGACAGGAAGCAGGAGTCCCCATCCTGCAGTCCTCCCCCTCCGCTGCCCGCCTGTCAGCACTCAGGCCCCCGTCACACTCACCTTGAGGTCGGCCGCCTCCAGGTAGCAGCGCTCAGCCAGGGTGTGGTCTGAGAGCTGCACGTTCCAGACACAGGGCAGGGGCTGTACCAGCCCTGGGTGCTCCTTGATGACAGCATTGAAGATGTCCTAGGCAGACACAGCTGTCACACCTCCATCCACAGGCCACCCGGCCCCATGCCCTACCGAGGTTGCCCAGACCTGGTCGGCTAGGGAGGTGGCAGGCTGGGTGAGGAGCTCTCGCCTAGCAGTCAGCTGCCACATCCGCTCCCAGCCCGCATGCCGCAGGCGGTCCAGCCACAGCAAGATCACACCTGCCAACAGGGAGAGCTTGTCATGCCCTCGAGGAACAACCAGCTCCTGGAGGTAGGGGCCGTGAAGGTGTCTTCTGAATGTCTGTTTTGGTTTCCTGTACATTTCAGTCAATGAAAAACCACATACAGAATGGTCCCATGTGATTATGGTACTCTGTGTTTTTGGGATAGGGTCTCACGGTATAGCTCAGGCTGGGTGATCTTCCTGCCTCAGCATCCCCACTGCTGGGATTACAGGTGTGCACCACCACGCCCAGCTCCATCCCATTTAGTTTGTATAACTGTATCCTGTGATTTCTGGGCAGCAAAATCGCCTAATGATGCCGTGGCTTTTGAAACCACTCCCACTGAATTGATGAGAAAACTGAGGCTTGGAAGGAACCAGCAGGTTGGTCAGTCTAGTGCGGGCTGAACTGTCTGGGGGGCTCATCGGTGTTCTTTTAGCATTCCTGGCATTCTGTGCCCTGCCCAGCCCCTGGGACGTAGTGGCCCATTCCTCGTGCCTTCCCCCAACACTGTCCCCACCTGTGTTAAACCCCCGGCCCAAGGCGGGCCAGGGCCTGTGGTTCTTCCAGAGGTTGCCCAGGTACCAGTCGCTCTGGTTCTCCACGAGCCCGATCACCTGCTTGTCTGGGGGTGGGGGTGGGGGACAAGGGAGCTGCTTGCTGCGGCTGCCGGGGACAGGGACAGGGACAGGGACAGGGACGGGCGAGTCAGGGAGGGGGCTGTCGAAGGCAGGGTCTCAGGCCTCTCACCAGAAAAGGAAGCAAAAAGTGCCCAGAGCTCCGCAATGTCAGCAGCAAAGGTGACATCTGTGTCCAGGACAATGACTTGGGCCAGGCCAGGGGGCAGGACGCCGGGCAACACTAGCTTCATCAGCCCGTAGAGGCCAGAGTAGTGCTTGTTGGGGACCCAGGAGATCTGGGGCTGTGGGCGAGAAGGGCCGGGCCTGAGCAGGTGGGGAAGGTGAACAAAGGGTGCAGGATCTGAGCTTCAGGAGGTGACGGCGCCCCCTCTCCCGCCCGGAGTAAGCAGGGCAAAGGGAGCGAGCGGGGGGGGGGGGGGGGGCGGGTCCTGCCTTGATCTGCTCGGCATCATAGAAGCTGACCGCGAGGGCTGGCACCATCCACGTGAGGAAGAGCGTCTCCAGGATGCTCCTGGCCACTGCGTCGGTCACCAGGTGCAGGTGCAGCGGGTTTTTCCTTTCGGGCAGACAGAGAGGAAGCCTGAGAAGCCCCTGCAGGAAGGCGGAGGGAGCCTCACCCCAAGGGGCTCACAGGTGGAAGCCTCCTCATCTGCCAAGAGCTCCTGGGCTAGCTCAGGACGTTCTCAGCGCAGCCTCCCAGGAAGGAGAGGACACTGCCTCTGGGTCAGAGGAGGAAGCTCAAGCTCAGGGAGCGGTACCCTGCCAAGACTTTGTTCCCTGCCTGCTTCAGGCCCTGCCCCGTGTACACCTGGCTGTACCTGTAGAAGAGCATGGACTTCACCAGGGTGACGACCTCTCGGCTGGAGTTGAGTCCTGCACACACGATGGCCACGTGCAGGAGCTGGGGACGGGACACACAGGTTAGCGGCAGCCTCCGCCACCACCACACCTCCGCCACCTCCCGGCTGGGCCACCGGCCCGGACCAGGGTGACCCCACCTGACGTCCGAGGAGTGTGAGTGTGCAGAGGGGCAGGAGAAACTAAGGCCAGGCAGAGGAAAGCGCACCGCAGGAGGCCCCACAGGTGTCCAGATGGTACCTACCTGGCACCTGGGCGGACGTGAGGCTCCATCGCGAGCGACGGGCCCGGAAGGCGGCCCGTCTGGGGGTTCAGGAGGCGCGGGCGGGCAGCAGGAGCCCCCCACATCCTCCGCCCACGGGTCCCCACCGAGCAGGAAGAGCCCCACCAGGAGGAGCACCCC